AAATTTAGTGTTCTTTTGATGATGATGATTTTTTGTCTACTACTACTACTACTACTACTACTACTACTACTACTACTACTACTACTACTACTACTACTACTACTACTACTACTACTACTACTCCTCTACTGCTACTGCTACTACTACTATAACAGCTAGTACAATTAGTATTTATTACTACTACTACTACTACTACTACTACTACTACTACTACTACTACTACTACTACTACTACTACTACTACTACTACTACTACTACTACTACTACTACTAACTATTAGTACTACTATTAGTACTAGTAATACTATGATATTACAGAGAGAGAGGCAAAGAAAGAGTCAAGAAGGCGCTGCGAAGCGCAGCAGACCAGCGCAGCATGGCTCGGCAATGGCCTTTCAAAGAAACAGGCTTAGCGGCTTTGTTTTCAACCCACAAATTGGAGCGGAAAGTGCAGAGTTGAGCCGTCATAAAGCGGATGCAGGTCCAGACCTGGGACAACGCAAACCTCCATTTCCAATCCCAGATCAAGCCTGACGAACACCCACGAGCAGTCACGCAAAGTTTCGACAAGCCTAAGTGCAAGCAAGGGTGCTTCGGATGGCAATTCTATTTTGCGAAAGACAAAGTTATGACATGGATATCTGGACAAAGATACACATGGCAATCTGTAGCGGGGCTGCAACAAACGCAACGTCTGAAATCTTGACCGCCTGACACGGGTAGTTTGCAAGTTGGGGCCTGGATTGCCTGGGCATCGCGACGGCGTATTGCAGGCTTGCATCAGCATGTTGAGTCTGGCCCTTCAAGCCTATAGATTCATAGTCACAAGTGCCGACACCACTGCGTTCAAGGCAGAAAGTTGTGCTTCTGGCAGAGGAGTCTTGAGGGTGCACCAGAAAATAATCATCATCAAGAATTGCCGGACGCCATCCCTTTTTAAATTGTCTTCTTCCCTCCTCCCCCCTTTCCCTGAAGAGGGCTCCTCTGCGCCGGCGGAAGGTGTTGGTGCTGGCTCAGGGACGACGTTGGACTGTGTAATTCAGTTAAGCTTAGCGCCCTTCGCCCTCGAACCTCGACTTGACGCTGCAGCTTCTGACCCCGCTGCTAGTCCCTTCAAGCAGGTAAGCTTCCCTAAACCCTAAACCCTTAACCCTAAACCCTCAACCCTAAACCCTAAGGCTTGAGGTTGATCTCTCAGAGTCAACAGATACCAGACTTGGTGTCTGAGAGTGTTCAGTACCCAGCAACACTGCGGTTCTCTGACTGCAGGCACAGGAACAATGAGGCTACTAATCATTTGAAGATGTGGATTTTCAGGGTACTTCGGCCGGAAGGTGGTGTAGCCAAAACCAAAAGCCTAAGTCTGAAGGAGAAGGACATGGACTAATGCCCGGCCCCTGTTTGCCCCGTTGTCCGGTGGGCCTGATTTGGTGTTAAGGGATTAGGGTTGCTAAAAGTCTAGGGGATGTTCCAGTGGGCTGCACCTAAACTCCAAAGGCTTCCTCCTACCCTGAGCCTTCCTACCCAACTCGGAAACCTTGACATTCAACGATGAAACGTGAATTGAATCCTACCTGGAACCACTACAAGTAGACTCCGGCATCTGGGGCTCCCGCCTCATAGTTCAGAGCTTGCAGGCACTCCATCCGCGAAAATGCCTGCCACGGATCACAATACGTCTGACCTTATTATTATGTATTAATGAATAATGCGATTTGCGCGCAATGCCCAGAAGGTAAAATAGACGCTCAAGTATGTTTGTCGCCGAGCAAGCCCAAAAGTTAGGACACAGACAGGCTGACACATCTCCACGAGATGCCAGCTCGAGGCCATGTTTGGAATGGAAAAGACTTGGCTGCCAGAGCGGCGAACATTGCAAAAGAGATGCCGACGCAGATCGCTGATGGACAACGACATGAACTGCCCTTATTACAAGGACAAGGACATGTAGCTTGCATGTGTGTGGGCTGCACAAGATCCACCCTCGGCATCTTCAGTCCAGGTTTCAACCCAGGCCTTCATCCGACACAATGCAAAAGGACGCCTACGCAGATCAGATCGCTGCTCGAGTAAAAGCATGCAGGTCTTCTTAGACATGGGTGGCTGCGCAATCTGATCCACCCCCACCTCTCTTCTCTCTTCTACCTCCCGTCTCCCCCCTCCCCCCTCACGGGTCCACCCCTTCGAGCGAGCCATCCAATGCTGCGACCTCCTCCGCGGTGAGTGCCTCCTGGTCGGCCTCCCCCTGGTCCTTCAATTCTTCGCGGAAGAACTCGTTGATCATCTCGGAGAGGGATTGGTGAAATAGGACATGCTTGGCCATGGTGATGCATCTCACCGCCTCGAGGTCCACGATGTTCCCCAACCAAGCGGCGTGGCTTTTCCTGGTTCATGGTTGGGATGGTAAGGAAAAAAACCTTATTCCTTATTCAGTTTAAGTACCCTTACAAGATGTACAATGTTACCCTACTATGACAGAGCTTCTTTTTCACGCACCCCCAATACTGCACCCCCCTGCGCAAGCACGCCTTCGCCAGGCTCCCCGAGCCTGGCGTCAAGTCCACCACGCAGTTGCAGCGGTTCATGGCGATGAAAGCCTCCCAGAAGCTTGTGGACCTTACGACGGACAGAAATATTATTAACCATTGTCAATAGGTCAACAACGACGTGCAGCGAAATGTGTTAAGGGAGTGGTTGGAACACTGAGCTCCCAACTTGCTCTCCTGCCAGAAAAGCGGGACCCCACTCCGGGTCCAGGATCTGGGCTTGCTTCCCGCCTTGTTGGCTCCCAAGATCTGCTCCTTCTCCGCCTCCCCAATCCGCGGCAACGCCACCAGCGCAGGCAGCTCCACTCCCGCAAAGCTGAGCTCATAGGTTGACTTGTCACTTCCCTCTGGCAGATAGTCATCCTGGCCATGCTCTTTGCCGACAAAAATTTACCCCTGAACCCTATTAGCTTATAAGCCCTAAACCCTACCTTCAACCTAGACTGTAAAGGGTAGTACGGTCTCTTCGTGCTGAGTTTGCTCTCAGGTAGCCGGGCCTACTGCTTGGGGCACAGGCTTGACCACAAACGATTGTTATGCTTCTAAATTTTTGCATCGTCTGGGCCTGGTCTAGGAATGGAAAGAGAAAAGAGAGAGAGAGAGAGAGTGGAAAAAAAACAAAGAGACAGAGAAGGAGTAGGAAAAGGGCAAGGAGAAGGATTAATAAAGAGCGAGGTTTTTTCTCTGCGTGGGTGGGCATCAGCACTCCATGTCACAAACACCCTACTTGATTAATGACATGAATGACTTCTTGTCAATATGTAGTTTGAAATGCTGAACCCTCAGCCCTGAACCCTGAACTCTCAACCATAATTACACCCTGGACCGCTGCACACAGAACCCCAAACGGTAAATAACAATCACTGTGACTGCTGCCCCTCCTTGCGCTCGACGGTTGTCAGGCGAACCCGGGCCACCTGCCCACACAGATAGCCAGTCTCTCGCGAGGGCGAGGATCCAAAGACCTTGCGGCCTGGCCTTGAGGAGTGGTTCTGCCGATACATCACGCACAGCTCCGAAGTGGTCGAGCTGGAGCTGGCCACCCCCATCTCCTCCTCCAGAAAGCGGCGGTTGCTCAGGTTCCTGCCATCGAAGACGGCGATGAAGTCGGAAACCTTGTTTGCCACCCCCCTGACCCACTTGAGGATCACCTTAGCCTCGTCCCTCGTGCCCCCCAAGCAGCCCGGGGTAGTCCACGGGCTGATTTGACTTTCTTCTGCCAAATCCGCGCTGTACACGAACAGCCTGTGGGACTCATTGAGGGTCCCCCCCCAGGAGCGCACGGCCTCGGCCGTTGCTTTGTTCCATGCAGCAGAAAGCTCCGCTTCTGTTCTCCCCACTGCTAAGTTCACCAGTTTGCGCCTCTGCGCTTGCGACTGTTTCCAGAGGTCCTCCCTTTCGGCTTGTGCCCTGCTGCCTCAGATTGGTTTAGGGTTAAGGGTTTAGGGTTTAGGTTTAGAGATAGGGTTCCCTAAACCCTAGCCGAAAACCTATCAACCCTCAACCCTAAACCCGAACCCCAAATACCAAACCACATTTGTGCAAACAAGGCCGCACGAGGACGGGCCGTCCTCCCCAGGGTCGCTGGACATGCGGACCAGCTGGCGCACGCTGAGGCTGGGGGCAGCACTCTCTGTGGTGGGGACGACTGTGGCAGATCGCTCCAGATCCTTCAACGCGCCCGACCACTCCTTGTGCAAGTTCAGCCCGCTCAAGTTGGACTCAGTGTCCGACAAGACCTCCAGCACATTCTTCCTCAGCATATTGCGCAGCGACCCTTGCTTATATAGGGACACTGCCAAGAGAACCCGGAAATCCAAAAAATCGTAAAAAGGAGACAGACAACTGCACTGGTTCATGGGCAATGTCTACTAGTGCACTTTTCGCCAACGCGAGAAGTAAGAATAGCTCATCTTGGACACCTGGGGTTTTGGAGCTGGATCTGCCGAGTGGCTTGGCCATCTTGATCAGGTCCGCATCATACTCGGAGGAGTAGAGGTCGCGAGCAAGCTGGTAAACCCTCTTGTGAGCCCCCTGCAGATTCTGCCACTCCAGACTGTCATCTGCATTGCCAGTGTCCTTGTCCGCCCCATCGTCATGGTCCCCCTCCCCTGCGTCCTCCTGGACAGGCGGATGCATCTTCAAGAACTCGAGGGGTCTTGCAATCTTTGCCAAGGACTCAAACAATGGACGCGCAGCATCACCCATGCCATTCGCGATGACCAAGAGCTGCGAAATCATGTTGTACTTCCCGAAGCTGGTGAGGTACCACCCTGCGTTGTCGCCCTTGACTTCCAAGTTTTTGCTGCTGTAGAAACTCGGGTCCGTGGCTTTCGTCACCAGCTGCATGTAAGCCAGGTCCACCACAAATCCAAGGCCATCCTCCACAGCCTTGCGGGTCGGGGACGCACTCTAGCATGCCTAAGTACTACAGTCCCTTCAGCCCTAACATCGTCACTGTGTTTGCGTCCAAGGCACAGCTGCTGCCACATTGGTGAGATGGCTCGACGCAAGCTGCGACATGCGGGTCAACTTCGTGTAGCCCGAACTGAAAACCTCCACCCCAAACTCCTTCTCGATCTTCCTGAGGGTCACCAATGAGTCCTTCGGAAAGCGCTTCATTGAAAGTACCGCGTTCAACAGACCCTTGGACATCGTGGCACCTTTGAAGGCGATCTTCTTCTCCTTGAGCCAGGTTTCCTGCTCCTGGTTCTTCTTTCCGGCCATGTCGGCCAACAATGCGTTCACCTTCCCGGACCAGTGTATCCAGCTGTCCGTCAGCTCCCCCAGCGCCGCATAATCCTCGGAAGCATACAAAGACCGGAACACCAGCTCCTTCGGGTCTTTGATGACATAGCAAGTGAAAGTCACAGACCTCCCTGCCAGCCACAGAAGCTTCAACCCGCTCATGTTGTCCTCCCGAAGGCACCGGCACATAGCTACCTGAGCATGGTCTTTGCGACAGCACAGCTAAAACAACAGTACACTTTTAAAAAAAAACCTTCCCAAACACGCGCAAGAATGGAACCTGTTTACCAGACGCAGTGCTCATAAACCCTCAGCCCGAAGCCCTAAGCCCATCCCTACACCCTCATCTTCATGGAATCCTTCAAGCCATCTAATGTTGACTTCGTTTAAAACCCCCATCTCCACCATTCGGGGGGGGTCGGGCTGTTGCAGTGGGCTGAGGGACACACCTCAACTACTATGAAGCTCAACAGCATTGCTGTGTGAAAGAAGGCACTGGACCCAGGGTTTCGTTTATAATTGAGTTCCGGGACTCTTAAATTATATTCCGGGCCCACAGAAAGAGTCAATGGGGGAGGCTATTAAAGAGAAGAAACTGCCTCCGGAAGAAGAATCCCTCAGGCTATCTCCTTGCAGCACAGGCACCCACCAAGCTGCTGCCAACGCGTGGCCCGAGGCCAAGAACATGTTTTTGGGGTAGCCCTGCGGGATGTGATCATGGAAGACATACGTGTGCAACGCTGCCGGCCACACAATCCGTTCCTGACCCTTGGTGACGGTGGGAATCAGCCGTTGCTCGGATCGAACGATCTGCTTGAAGCTTGGAGGGTCGAGTGGCAGGTTGTGGGACTCCAATGGGTTCAACCACGTCATGACGGCCCCTGCTTCGTAGATGCCGTTCTTTGTCAGTGAGTTCAACGCGTTCTGACAGTCCCATGCCTCTTTGTACCTTGTCTGGAAGCAAACACAGCAGAACCGATACCCAACAAATCCATGCAAACTCAGAGCGAACACTGAGCCCTAGACCCAGACGAGTCTCTCACATCCAAAGGCAGATAGTCTGAAAGGCTTGTGCAGCCCGGCTCTGCGAGCCCCTCCTCCTGCAGGACCTTCCCCAAAGCAGCCCTCACCTGAATGCCAGCAGGCAACAGCAACGACTATGGCAACGCGCAGCTCATGACGTGCTGAAAGCATGCCCAGGCGCATAAGGAATGACTTCCCGCAACACCTCAAATCCGTCCCCACAGTCGTCGTCGTCCGGCAGCTGGGGTGGGGTCAACTTGTTCCCAGGGCGCACCGCAGAGGATGCGTCGTCCAACCTCGGTGCCTTCAGCGGGGCGGTGGGGATCGCTGATGCCTCTTCGCTTCCCCGCTTGAACGGCGGGCCTTGCGACACCGGCGCAGGCGCTTTCGCCGACGCCTTTGGCGTCTGTTTGCCGGTGGTTCGTGTGTCCAACGACATGTTTGCGAACCAAGTCTGCTAGTGCCCCGTCCTAGCTCAGCAGATGTCGAAGGTTGTTGTTGAAAGCTGAACACCCTCACGCTCTTTTGCAACTCGGTACTGAGCCTCAATATTGCATCATGATCCCACTCTCTCCCATTCTCTGCTGCGAGACATGCTTGCGAATCATATGTCTGCTTCTCGCGCACAGCCCAATCTCTAACACAGGCAACAAGATGTGTCCCCCTGCCCTGCCCTGTCTCTCTCTCCCATTCTGTGCTGCGAGCCTCCACGATCTGAAATCTGAATGACCTGGCAACGGAGCTGTGCACGCATGGATCCAGCAGCTTACTTCCTTCCCCTGTCTGTCCCCCCCCCCCAACAGAAACTCGAAATGTCCATGTGCCATCTTTTGGGTTGGGGTTTGGCTTGTCCCCTCCCCCTACACCGGCATAGGCTCGGAATAGGGCTTGAAAGGCAAAATCGGCTTTTATAATTCGGGGTACGTTCCGTACAAGGGAGAAGGGAATAGTAACAGTATTACGTCTTTAGTAAGCTTCCCTGTTATTCTGGAATACACATTTTTTCTTCTAATGACTGAAGCGTCGAAAGAAGACCCCCTGCATCATCTCTTCAAAGATGGATGCGCCACCCCTGTACAACGAACTAAGCGCCGCATCTTTTGCGCGACGGTGAAAAGCTGGCGCGTGTCCCCGACATCCACACACTCTGTGTTCTCGGAGTCGGGGTCTGCAATGCGCCACTGGCTCTGCCGCCTGGCACCGTGTGGGAGAGGACCAGCAAAACTGCGCCAATGTGCACAGTTGAGTAGACTATCATTCATTGTTGAACAAAATACAATGACTGAATTCCTCCAAGTCACATCTCGCAGAGCTTCTGTATGAAGTCACAGCTGGCCGCATGCTTCCCACGGAACGCACTGGAGAACTTGATCGTGAGCGCATCCTTCAAAGCAGCCTCATGGCATTGGGCCGGGCCGGACTTCCCCCACGTCTCTTTCTCGATGATGTCCTTCCCCAAGCCGACAGCTGCCAAGTACACCAGCGGGAAGAGCGGCCTAGACTTACAAGTGTCAGGGGAGGAACACACCCTCAACCCTGACCCCCCAAAACCCTGAAAACCCTCTTTTATTTTAAATACCCTGATACTTCAAAACACTGAACAACCTAAAACCCTGAAACCCTGAACACCCTAAAAAAACCCTGAAACCCGAAACCTTAAACCTTAAACCGACAGAAGATGACATGCGATGTTGGTGGCAATGCGTGAACTGCACCCGAGACGCAGGATGTCGTTGAACTTCGGCAAACACTGCAGATGCTTGAAACTGGACACGACGATCAAATCGCATCCCCGGACAAAGGCCAGAATGTCCCCCATGCTGTGAGAATTGCCCGGCCTCATGACTGTTCCGGCCTCGCACTGCACAGAAGGGCCTGTCAGGGTAAGATCCACGATCTTGGGGGCTCTCTTTCTCGTGTAGTCGAAAGCTGCAGATCTGGGCGCCGGCGTTGCGTCTGCAAGCAGTGTGGCCTTGCGAAGGGGACCGGGTCGATACACAGATGTCTCCGGGTGATCTCGTCGCTGGTTGCGCATGTCCAGCTTTTTTTGTTTCTTCTCTGCAGCGCTGTTGTACAAGTCTTCCAGGTCTTGGTTGAACTGTGGGTTCTTCTGATAGGCTTCCTCATGCCGAGGGAGATCTTTCCTCTTGACGCCCAAGATCGTCACACTTCCCTCGCCCACCCTGCCAGCGTTGCAGACAAGCAGATTAGCCCCGGCAGTGGTTCGTCGAACGATGTCTGCGTCTGTGCCAGAACGTTTGCCACGAGCACGGCCTGCGTCAGCCCTGGGCTTGTAGAGTCGAAAACGAGCGCCGAAGAGCGAGCGCCAAATGCTGACCATCTCCACGCACATGTCTGTTGCCTGCAAGACTGGGTGCTCCCCATCCTGACCTAGGAGGGTGGCCAGCTCGGTCTCTGATTGAGGCCCATCCAAGGATATTTCAGCCAGGTCGTGCAGCGTGAGTCCCAAAGGCCCCAGATGCGCCTGCCGCAATCGCTCCACCACAGCCAAAGCTCTTTCGACCCCCGTGCTGGAATCGCGAAACCCCAGATAATAATTCACAAATGATGGCAGTGCATTGAAGCGCTTCCAGGAAGTGGCTCTCTGGACAAAGCTGTCCTCCCAAACTCTCCGCCATTCCGTTCGGTTGTCGACCTCTTCCCCAGCATCAAACTTTGGGGCGAGCTCCTCCTGCAAGCAATGGGCTGCGCACCACCATTCGCGCAAAGTCTCCCTATAGGCTGACTTTTTCAGGCCTGATTCCACGAGGCGGCGAATCCGCAAGTCGGTCAGGCGTTTGTAGGTCTCCCACTCCCCAGGCTTTTGCTTCGCTTGGTGGAAGGACTTCAAATCGAAAACACAAAAGTCCAGCACAAACCCATTCACCTCTGCGTCCAGATCCTGAAGGGCCACGTCCGTGACAGCGTGCAGAGACTGGATGCACCTGTCAAAGGTGTGTTTTGCGGACCCGGGCCACAGGTAGTGCAAGCTCTCCCCAAACCGTATGCCAGGGCATTGCATGGCCTGCTGCACGATGAGTCTTGTCAGCGTCGTGGCCTCCCCCTCCCCTGGGTCGTCCAGAATGTGGCACTTGACGAAAAGGGTCAAGAGCCTGCGATGGAGCGAAGAGAGCGGGAGCCTATGAGTACAATTACTTCGGTGGATTCACAATGCCCTCTCTTGAACTTTGAAGAAAAGTGAACCACACAAAAAATCTACACGACATGGTTCGCCTGGAGGTAAACTCCCCCTTCTGTCTGCAGGTCAGAGCTGGGTCGTGGTCCTCTTGGTCGAAGACGCGAAGGAAACGAAGCCATTCGGCCGACCAGTCCCCGCACAGCCCCACGTCAACCAAGAAGCAAGGCTCCAGCTTTCTTAGGGTTCGGGAGCACTTAAGGCGCAAGGGCGCCTTATTGCCTTAGTTGCCAAAAAGTGCACTTTTAGTTCTAGATAGGGGATTCCAGTTAGTCGTATCCAAACAAGTTTAAAGTGTACTCATCCAGCTACTCAGTTGCGCATGTCCTGGCTCTGGATGGCCAGGAACAACGCAATGGGGACCAGGGTGGCAGCAAAGCGACGCAGTGGCGACGCTTCCGAATCCCAGCGCTGGGGAGCGAAGCTGAGGTGCTTCAGCGCCACCTCTAGAGGCTTCTGCCACTCCCCACATGATGCAGCCTCGGGAGGCAGGGGCAAGGGGGTACGTGGCCGTGTATAGGGCTTAGGACTCGGGCGTTGCAGTGGCCCTCAAGGGATCCGAAAACCTGGAAAACAAATACTGCCAAAGTGTCACAGTCTAGATGCATCCCTCTGCACGGCAAGAAATTTCGACCGTAGCTCCCAACTATTCATCAAGTCCGGAATGAGGCCCCCCGAGCCAAAGAGCACCTCCCGCATGTCGTTCCAGGCCGACTCCGCGGCCAGCGGACGCTTGGCGACCAGCCTGCACAACACGCTCTGTGAGTTCGAATCTGTAATGTTATTTTACTAGCAGAGAATGCACGCTTATTCCGCCTAGCCTCACGGCATGCGCTGTGTCTCGGTGAACCAGTGTCAGATTTGGCAGCATCTGCGTGAGGAGTTCTCCGCACTTGAGGGCTGCAGGAAGCCCGTCGCTGGTGTAGAACCTCGTGATCTGGCGCAGGTGCTCGTAGACGTGGGGGTTGCACTCCCCATGCACTGGCGTGCTGAGAAACAAGAGGGACTCCTCCACGGACTTGGCCATGCGCATGGAGTAGTCCTCCTCGTAGGACACCACCTCCTTGGCACCAGGACGGAAGGCTCGAAGCAGGCCCTTCCCGTATGGCTCGTGCGACAAGTTGGAGTGATACAGGATCACTCTGTGCGACTCCTTGTCATCGATCATGACCGTCATGCTCTCGGCCCGGAGCAATGTCTCCACCTTCTTGCGGCGGATGAACTCGCGCATTACCTGCACCAACTTCGTCACGGCCCAGCGGGTCACCTCGGCAGGCTTGGCCCGCTTCTGCGCGAGGAAGGCCTCTGAGAACGTCACCCCGGAGATTGCAGCCATTGAGACGTTGCTCCTGGCGGCCAAGCGCCACACACGCAGAAAGTCGTCCAGCTGTGGCACAGCTCCCCGGAAAGCTTCCCCTGCGGCTGGCGAGGGGAAGAGATGTGCACCGTGAAAACAATACACCCATGTTGCTTGTTACTTTACCTGGAACCTGCCAGCACCTGCTAATCCACAAGGCGAGTAACGTTCAGTGAGGCTCGGAGCTGCAGCTGTCAGCGGTCGCCCAGGGTGCAGGAATGCCCACAAAGCCGTGCGGTGCACGTCGCTCTTGGCATGGGCCCTGTTGGGACACTTCAGTGGGAACACTTCAGTTTTAATTAACTCATGGTTCAAAATGTTTACGACAAGTACCTCAGGATGTTTTCCAGTGTCGGGTGTCCGGCCTGATGGTGGAGGCCTGCATAGCAGAGAGCGTACTGATTTGATACCTCCCCCATTTCGTGTCCAGTCTCCCTTGCCCCCTTTTGCGGTCGCCGCGCTCCATCGCAGTGAGCCGTGCCTGCAGGCTGGCACATAGGTCGCAGCCTATGCCCCAGGTTCCTCCCAGGGCAGCCAAGCGCTGGGGAACCTCTGCCAACCAGACCGCGCGCTTTCCCCCAAGGGCTACAGAACCGTAGTGCTGTTGCCAAGTCTTGCGATGGAGTGTCCATCTGCAGCGTGCGCAAACACTAGCGAACTCCTCGGGGTCGGGGTGTTCACGACTGTGCTGCTGGTTGCACACAGCGGCCTCCCTGGGCAGCTGCTGCAGCAACTGATGCTTCTTCGCCCCTTTGTTAGCGCTGCCCGCAGACGCACTGCAGGATGCCTTGCGCTTCCTCTCTGTGCCTGACGATTTGGCTGTCGCGTGGCCTCTCCCCTGCTCACGCGTCTTCTGGCCAGCGTGATTTCGTCCACGCTGATCGTACAAAGACTCCATGCGGCTGCATATGTGTGTGCATTCATCATGTCATTAAGATCTTCGCACACAGGCGGCAAAGTACAACTTTGAAACAATTATTGTAGGGTTTGGGCTTCGCAGGGGTTTACGCTTTCGGGCTTTGGGTTGAGCTGATGAGCTACATTCCGGGGAGGTGAGGGTTTGGGCTTCGCAGGGGTTTACGCTTTCGGGCTTTGGGTTGAGCTGATGAGCTACATTCCGGGGAGGTGAGTCTGCCTTCACGGAGCCTGGAGCCGCGTGTGTTCCAAACCCGAACAGCATGCACAAACACCAACAGGCACGCAGAAACGCGTCCGTTCAGCAGATTCACACTCCTTGCCTTGGCCGTCCCACGGCTGCCGCCACACCCTGCCACAAGCGATGCCGATGGGTTCAGGTACCTTGTTTCGGAGGAAGTTAAACTGTAACTTAGTACGGTCATAGTCACAAGCAAGAATCCCGGGCAACGAGTGGATTCCGCAACACTGTCAATCATGCATTCCTCTGGCTTCTGTGGCTGCTCACGACATCATATTTTTGGTCCCTGTTTGCACTGCGTTGAATCGTGAGCATCCTGCTCGGTGCAAGTAATTCAGTAATTAGAGGTGTCAAGCTGGGTCAGATCCTTCAGATCAAGACTCATAAATGTCACTGAGGCGCCTCTTGGGCTGCTTTGCAGCCACTGCCTTCCCAGGAGTCCTTGCTCTGATGCTCGCGCTGCTGGCGCTGCTTCTGCGCTCAGGGGTGGAGCTGATGTGCTGAGCTCTGCGCGGCCGCGGTTTCCGCACAGCACACGATGCTGGCACCCGGCTGAAAATGTCGCTCAGGCGGCGCTTGATCTTTGGCCTCCCGGCAATGCGCTGCTTCTTCTTCCCCATGGAGCCAGAACTCTCAACCTCCCGCGTTACCTGCTGCAAGGGCGTCGTTACCTTTGTCTTGCAAGAAAGCCGCCGCAAGACCGGAGGTGCATCCCCCCTGCCTGTGGCTTCCCAGTTCACAAGGCTTATTGCCAGCATGGTCGCCAGGGCAATGGAGGTGATGTGCATCGAATTTCCGGCCAAGGCATGCAGAGCAGCATCCCCGACACTTGTTGGCATTGTCGTCATGCTGAGGGGGAAGCCCATGAGCGCCAAGCATTCGTGGCTGCTGAGAAGGCGACCGCGACCATCCCCAGAAATCATGACAGGCTGCGCTCCTCTTGTCAGGCAAGGGCACACTCCAGACAGCATTGGTGCACGCCCCAAGGACTGAGAGACATCGAGGATGACCGGATAGTCGTGCTTCTGGAGACCGTGTGTCTTGATCTCCACCAGGCTTTGCTGCCGCAGTGTGAGGCCAGGAAGGTGGTTTGCCTTGCGCGAAAGCTCCGTCATGTCAGAAAGATATGGAAGGCCCAATTGTTCGCGAACCTGCCCATGCTGCTCCACCCATTTCTTCTCAGTTGGAGCCCCCTGCTTGCCCTTGTTCTCCCTCCCGACATCCTCCTTTTTGACCACCTCCCGCAAGTAGTCCTCCAACTCAGCAGGTGGCAAAGACCCCTGCACTTCAGCACACACGTTCTGAAGCAGCTCCTTCACAAGATTCTGGTCGTCCGTGAGAGCACAGTCTTTTCGAGTGCACAGAAAGAAAACTCGAGGTCTTCGTATGGGCTCCCGCAGGTTCGCGTGCGGGCAAATCCTGGCGATGGCAACTGCATAGTGATCTGTGATCCCTTCCTGCGTGAGCATCTTCTTGAATCCCTTTTGGTGTCGGGCACGGACAATTCCCTTTACGTTCTCCAGCACTGCCCAGAATGGCCGGGCGTGCATCATGGCTCGGAGGCCAGCCCTGAGAACTTCTGTTCTTTTGTCCTGGAATCCTCGTGCACGAACTGAAGCAGCGCTGAAGGGCTGGCAGGGAAAGCCCAGCCAGTAGCCGTCCAAGCAACATGGCTCCACATGCTCTGGCAAGCGTCGTTCGATGGCATTGTGGAAAAGCAGCGGGCACATCCCTTGCGCACGTATCCAGCGACGAGCGTTCTCATCGATGTCACTTCCCCACCATTGCCGGAACTGCAATCCCAGGAGCTTCATCCCAAAGAGTGGCGCCTCCAGGCCACTGCAGTCGGTGGCACATGTAAAGACACGGCCTTCCGGCCACGTGTGTCCTGGCAGCTCGCTCTTCTCCAGCCATGTCTTGCGGGCTCGCAGGACAGCACTCCGGAGGATGCCAAAACGCCGACGCTGTTGGTCAGACATATCCACTTCGTTTTCTGCTGCCAGCTCGAGCCGCGCGGTCCTGTCGACCAAGCAAGGTAATTTTGCCCCTGGCCCAGCCGCAAATTACCCCAGGGTCTTGCGCGAGACTGTGGGGTAATCCTGAGAAGACACACGCCCCAGCTAGCTCAGCCACCATGGACACCATTACGCATGTAATTGGGCGAAACCCCCTGAGTAAGACTACCCGCCAGAATTGCAAAATACGCCGAGGTAATTTCAGGGAGCGTCCCAGGCTGCCAGCCAGCCTCTGCGACGGCCGTCGGAAGCGTGGCTCCTGCACGCCACGCCGGGCACAGGTGACCTGAGCAATAACATGTTCAGATGTACACAGAACACGATCACGCAGAGAGGTAGTGTCGCAGGACTGTCATTTGGCACTCGTTTCAGCAGCTAGAAGCGGCGTGATGCGTGTCGAAAGTAGATCTTCTGGCAAGCGCTACTGTGCTGTGGCCTCTGGCCAGTTCAAAAAAGAAAGCTTGGGAGGACTGTTCCTCTGGCCAGCTGTCTGACTCCCTGCAACAAGTCTCCATGACAGAGTTGACTCCAGCTTAGACCCCACAGGCACCCCCTCCCACCGGCATAGGCGCTCAGTCTGCCTCTCCTGCACCAGCGCTGTTGCTCAAGTGCTGCAATGCTTCCGAGAGCTTCTGCTTCTTGGCACGCAGGACGTCCGGGTCCACCTTCCCCTTAATCTCGAAGCGCAGAGTCTTGACGGTTCTCCCCGAAGACTGACATCGCTGTGTTGGTGCAAGCATGAACTCCTGGATTACAAGAACACAGACTCAGAAAAGGACAGGTGAGCGCAACCACACCACAGAGACACAGACACACACACACACACACAGACACACAGACACACACACACACACACAGACACACACACACACACAAACACACACACACACACACACAGAGACACACACACAAACACACACACACACACAGACACACAGACAGACACACACACACACACACACACACGCACACACGCACACACACACACACAAACACACACACAAACACAAACACAAACACAAACACAAACACAAACACAAACACCAACACCAACACAAACACAAACACAAACACAAACACAGACACAGACACAGACACGAACACGAACACAAACACAAACACAGACACACACACACACACACACGCACACACACGCACACACACACACACACAAACACACACACAAACACACACACACACACACAAACACAAACACAAAAACACAAACACAAACACAAACACGAACACAAACACAAACACAAACACAAACACAGACACAGACACAAACACGAACACAAACACAAACAGAAACACAGACACAGACACAGACACACACGCACACACACACACACAGACACACACACACACACAGACACGAACAAATGCAAACATCTGCACGCAGCCACACACACACACACAAACGTAAACGCAAACCGAAACACAAACACAACTAGACACAAGCACAAACACCCACGCGCAATAGAAAAAAAGATAGTCAGAGAGACAGAGACAGAGAGAGAGAGAGAGAGAGAGAGAGACAGAGAGAGCGAGAGAGAAAGAGAGAGAGAGAGAGACAGAGAGAGAGAGAGAGAGAGAGAGAGAGAGAGAGACAGAGAAAGGGAGAGAGAGAGAGAGACTCGCACGGACCCTCACACGCTCACATACGCCCACCAGCGAGCGCGAACGCGCGCCGCACGAGTGTGACACAAGCGCGAAAACCGACTTGCGAGCAAGCTGCGGCCAAAGGGGAGATGTCGCTGTCCACCAACAAGAAATCCGCAGCGTCCGCAGACCGAAACTGAACCTCC